CGTCAGAATTTTATGAAATTTGGAATAAATGTTATAATTGGCTAGAACAGAGAAAGAAAAAGACATAATTATTGATGTACATAAAATGTAAATAAGATGTAAAGAATATTTAAAATGTAAAGCACTGTTCTGTTAGAAGAAAAGATTTATGTTTATGTAGTTTTTGGTGTATGGTGTATGGTGAAAAATAAAAAAAAATTAAAAAAAAAAAAGAATGTATTACTCTCAGAGTGGGAGATAATTAAAAAGAAAATTTATATGAAAATACCTGAGTGGCTTTCCACAATGGAAGCATTTGCGTATCCGAATTTAATTAACTATGACAAACTTGTGGCCTATAAAGACATTTTAGATAAAGAAGGAAAACTTAAAGATAGGCAAGAACTTCAACAAAATGGCATTGATCTAACATGGTGGTCATATTTGCACATTTAAACAAGATATGAAAAAGATGTAAAAGTAATGGGATTTTACAAAGAACAGACACCACTAGATAAAATACTTTTGAAAACAGATGAAAATCTGATTAAGAAACTTTATAAATTCTTGCTAAATTGGAAGATGGAAGAAGAACAAGTGAAAGAAACAATGATAGTGTGGGCAAAGAATTTTGGTTATTCTATAGATTTAGAAGATTGCCAAAAATTATGGGACCGAAATATTAAACTTACTAAAGCAGCTGCATATAAGGAAAATTTATATAAAATGTTTTATAGATGGCACATGACACCAGTTAGATTAGATAAAATGTTTAAAAATGTATCAAATATGTGTTGGAAATGTAAACAACAACCAGGCACTTATTACCATCTCTGGTGGATATGTCCTAATGCTAAGAAGTTTTGGTTTAAGATTCACATGTGGCTAGAAAAGATGATTGAAAGACAGATAGAATTTAAACCAGAACTCTCTTTGCTAGGAATATTAGGTTTGAATTATGGAAAAGAGAATGAGTATTTAATATTGCATGTGTTGACAGCCGCAAGAATAATATTTGGTAAATTTTGGAAAAATGAAAACTTACCATCTGATCAGACTATAATAACAAAAATACTTGAATGTGCAGAAATGGATAGATTAACTTTAGAAATGAAAGAGAAAGAAGATACAATTTACTTTAAAACATGGGGAAAATTTTATTATTGGTTAGAAACACGATAGAATGAGAAAACGTTATGAAATTTAAAGAGATAATTGATAATTTGTATTTATATTTCATGATTATTTGTATGAACTTGTTCTTTTTTCTCTTCTTCTTCCTCTTTTCATACTTGTGATTTTAAACAATATGGTAAATTATAATTAATAATAATATATTATTATTTTAAAGTTATTATAATTAATTAGTATTAAGCATTGTTAAGTAGTGAAATGAATGAGATTTATTGATTAATTTGTTATTTACATGATTATATGGAAAGTTGTTTAATAATAGAGTAATTATTAAGATTTAATATGTATACCCGGACTGGTAGACTTGCTGAAGCGATGTTATTTTGTGGGATTAATCCCACTTTTGTGTTATCCCTTTTCCCTGGTCTAACCATTTTGTATGTTTCCCTTTGTCTTATCCTTTTTGACCCTATTCCTTTATTACCCTTATAAAACTCAATAAAATATTCATTAAAAAAAAAATCCTGGAGCACCGGGGAAGTACCTGAGGATTGGAAAAGCGCTGATGTGGTCCCCATCTTCAAGAAAGGGGAAAAAACGGACCCAGGAAACTACAGACCAATCAGTTTATCATCAATACCTGGGAAGATCCTAGAAAAGATAATCAAAAAACAAATCTGCGAACAACTAGAAGCAAACAAAGTCATAACTAGTAGCCAGCATGGGTTTGTTAAAAACAGATCATGCCAAACCAATCTTATTTCATTCTTTGATAAAGTGACCAAATTAGTAGACCAGTGAAATGCAGTGGACGTAGTATACTTAGATTTCAGTAAGGCATTTGACAAGGTAGACCACAACCTACTCCTTGGTAAGCTAGAAAAAGGTGGAATAGACAACGTCACCACCAGATGGAACTATAGCTGGCTAACAAACCGTACTCAATGAGTAGTCCTCAATGGTACTACATCCACATGGAGAGAAGTAAGCAATGGGGTACCACAAGGTTCCATCTTAGGCCCAGTACTCTTCAATATCTTCATCAATGACTTAGATGAGGGAATTGAAGGGGAACTCATCAAATTTGCAGTTGACACCAAACTGGCAGGAGTATCCAACAGCCCAGAAGACAAACTCAGGATCCAAAAAGATCTTGACAAACCTGAACAATGGGCCCTATCCAACAAAATGAGTTTCAATGTGGAGAAAAGCAAAGTCTTACATTTAGGCAGGAAAAACCAAAGGTAGAAATACAGATTGGGTGAGACCTGGCTTAAAACAGTAACTGTGAGTCCTAGTGGATGATCACTTGACTATGAGCCAGCAGTGTGCAGCAGCAGCCAAAAAAGCGAATACAATCCTGGGTTGTATAAACAGAGGCATAGAATCAAGATCACGCGAAGTATTAATATTGCTTTATAAAACCCTAGTAAGACCACACCTGGAATACTGCAGCCACTTTTGGTCACCATATCACAAAAAAGATGTTGAGAGTTTCAAACAAATTCAGAGAACAGCAACTAAGATGATCCAAGGCCTGGAGACTAAATCATACGAAGAACGGCTACGGGACTTGGGTTTGGCTAGTCTAAAGAAAAGAAGAAATAGGGGAGACATGATAGCAGTGTTCCAATATCTGAGGGGCTGCCATAAGGCAGAGGGGGCCAGGTTGTTCACCAAAGCACCAGAGGGAAGGATGAGAAACAATGGTTGGAAACTGATCAAAGAGAGAAGCAACCTGGAATTAAGGAGAAACTTCCTGACAGTAAGGACAATCAACAAGTGGAACAGCTTACCCCCAGAAATCGTGGGCGCTCCATCACTGGAGATTTTCAAGAAGAGACTAGACATTCACCTATCTGAGATGGTATAGGTTCTCCTGCTTGAGCAGGGTGCTGGACTTGAAGACCTTCAAGATCCCTTCCAGCTCTATTCTATTCTAAGGGAAAAACATTGAAAAAAAAGTGAATTAAAAAAGAAAAAAGGACAAAAATGCATATTATTCCCCTTAGTTGAACACTGAGAAATTTATTGCAACAATAATAGCTACCCCCCCTTGCAAAGCAGGTCCAAAATTTATAAGCTTGTACATCTATTTGCAACCCAATTGATTTGTCATACATCATACATGTGAAAGAAAAAACAGTTAACAGGTAGAACAACAGCAAAGTTAAAATTCAAAGCCCTCTTCTCACTTGGCATCCAGCTTAATTGAGTGAAAGGGGGCCACTATCCACTGGAGATGTTTGATGGGGTAAGAAGACCTCACCCCTGTGCTGTCTGTCCCCTTGGGTTTAGTTATTATAGAACTCTTCTTAATTGTAATTGTTTTTATATTTATCTTTTTACCTTTCTTAAGCTGCCCAGAGTTGCCTTATTGGTCAGATGGTTGGCATATACATTTAATAAATAGTTTCCCACTGTTAATTTCTACCAGCTATATGGTCGTGGCTGGGCATTATGGGGTTGAAGTAAAAGAAATCCACATATCTGGACATTGCCAAGTTGAGGGACGTTGTCCTAAACCACTGAGGTGGTGCTGGCGCGTGAACAATCTTTGATTTCTAGGTCCATAAATCAGCATTTGAAATCATTGTTGGTTGGTTGTTGGCTGGCTGGTTGGCTGATTCCCACATTGAAATAATGAGTGGTACCAATGGGGATTAAAGCATGAGTGTATTGTGTAAATCCTGTGCCACCAAATGGGATGTGGTGGTTTTGGAGGTAGTTTGCAGGAAACCATCCCACAAAGAATTGAGGAGAATTTAAGGGGGGGGGAGGAGGAGGAGGAGGTTGTGAAGGAGTGGTTCTACCTCATGATTATTTTTCCCCTCTCTCCATTCAGTGCTACAACTGTGAAGAGGAGGCCATGTATCACTGCTGTTGGAACACTTCCTATTGCTCCATCAAGTGTCAGCAGGAGCACTGGCATGCAGAGCACAAACGTACCTGTCGTCGGAAAAGATGAAAGCTTCCTCACCCCACCAAGTTATTGCCCTGATTCAGTGCTCTCCTCTAACTCAGCAGGTGCTGGAGATCTTCTCTGGTTTTTCATGTTGATTTCCAAGGGGTCAGAATTAATGTGAATTCATTCCCATTTATTATTATTATTATTGCACCAGCCTTTTCGTAAATAAATGTTTGCACAGTTAAATTTCAGTCCTGTGTTTTAACACTCTGCTTCGGACTGTCATCTCCTTGTGGCCCTCTTTTCCCTTCTTTTTGTCAGGAAGGCAATTCAGATCTCCACTGAAGCACATTACTTTTTGATAAATTTTAACTGAGGGAATTTATTACATTTTCAGCAAATTAAAAAAAGTTTTTTAGGATTCAAAGAGACAAAGGTGACAGGAACATTTTAAAGGGATCTGAATGTAAGAAATTTAAAAACAAGTTAAAAAAAAACATACTACCTGGATATAACAGATGTTAATCATTCAAGCTGGTTTTCTTCAGCTTAATTTACTGCTTCAAGGCATTATCTGTTGGCTTTTACCAGTGGGTATCCAACTGAATTTTGGGAACAGGGTTTACACCACAGGTGGTAGTCCTGCCACTTTCTAACGTTCCTTTCCCAATTGTCTTTGTTCCATTATTATTTTTCTTCAATATTTAGCTTTTATAATGAAAATATTAGCTTTGATCTTATTGTTTAAAAATCACCAAGGACTAGGGTAGAGTTTTGCTGAGCTAGATCTTTGGGGGGGGAGTAATATTTAATTTTTAATTTTTGCACATTTTATCCTTGTAACATGAATACTTGTAAAAAGAAAACCAAAAACTGAAAAAAGAACAGCTCAATTCTACATTTCATCATATATGGAGCTCTAAAGTTGAGAAGAAAAGAGAAGAAGAAAAGGCTTAACAGTCCTCAAGAAACGACAGGCCACTTAATGATGGTTCAAAGTTACAACCAGCACAAAACTACACATGACTCTGTTTCAAAGTTATGACAGCTGCAGTGGCCCCATGGTCATTCGCTCTTACGACAGACCATAGGGATGCTGCAGCGTCCTCCCCAGAGAGAGAGAGAGAGAGAGAGAGCACCCATGTTCAGAGACTTTTTTTATATATAAGGTGTAAACTTTATTTAACCAACATATCTTTTAATACTTCTTGCCATTTTAGGGTACTTTTAAAAAGATGGTCTTAAGATTCAACCATTTCCCCTTGAACATTATTTTTCCAAGTTCAAATAAAGTAATTTCTTAATATTTATGTAGACCTTGGATATTTATTGAAAGTGATAATACTATGAAATTATAAGAATGGGAGAACTGGAAGAAAAGGATTTTAAAAAGAAATTTATCTGAAATTTGCTAGGGTCAGTCAGAAGATTAAACTCATATTAAGCTTTCTGTGATCTGATGCTGTAGTTCAGATCAGTGTTTCTCAACTTCAGCAACTTTAAGATGGGTGGACTTCCACTGGCTGGGCAATTGTCGGAGCTGAAGTCCACATCTTAATGATGTTGAACTTGAGCAACATTGATATAGATGGTCAACAAATAATGGCAATTGGAATGGAGTTCCATTTTCCATGAGGAACTTTGAAAATCCAGGCAACATAGCCTGAATTTAAATGAGATACAGTTAGTAAGATGAGAACAGTACCCTCAGGTATCTTTATATTTGCCAAGGTGCATGGCAGAACTGTTGGAATGCCAAGTTGTTCCATTCATCCTGGTGGACAGAGGACCTTCACCATTCCATTGCCCTGGATCCATTCTGCTGTGGCAGAGAATCACTCGTTACAAATATTGGAGCCTCTGTACCCTAAATGGAGGTTAGCTCAGTGCAAATACTAACTTTATCTAGTGACTTAAACTTTTTAACAACTAATTATGTTGTGATTATACTGTATATAGGAGGCCTTCTCCCTAGAGCAAGTGCAACAAACACCCTTTGATTATTTTATTATTGTCCCTCTTCACCACCCTACCTTAAGAAAAAACTTCAGACCAACCCTATAAAAGCAAATTTTGTCAAAACTATTTTTTGGGGGGTGTAGCATCATTCCAGGATATGTAATATTTAACTGAATAGGTGCATGAAAGTAAAAATGTGTGGGGTTTTGTCGCTTTTTTTTTTTGGCATGGTTGCACATTTTCAACTTATTACAGTGTGAAAACTGTGTGTGTGTGTGTGTGTATGTGTGTAGGGGGGGTTAATCAACAAAAGAACAAGAAAAAAAGTGTGGCCTGGTTTTGTACACATTTTAGGTGGGAATATTGTTTAGGAATCCTGATTTTAAACATTTTTTCTGGCAAATCATAAATCTATATTAAAGTGTTGAGCTTAGCCACAATGCACATTGTAATTTACTCATTGTGGCTGTCCAGTTCTATGATGCCTTCTGGCATTTTGTAAGCTGCTCTGACTAGCAACATATCGAGTCATTAAATGTGTTAACATTGGTTAATAAATGTATTTGAAAAGGCAACAGCACATTATAGGTTTTTTGTATAAGTTCCTTATGATCTTTCCTAGGCTAACACACATTACACACATTGTCATCAAAAAAATTTCTAATATTTTTGTTGGTTGCTTTACTCTGGAAAAGGAAGACATCTAGCAAATGTGCTATCATATGACAATGGCAATTATCACAGGTTAGCTTGGCTGGTATAACATGGTGTCAGTTGATCATTCTCAGCTGCTAAACCTCCTGGAATCCTATCTAAGATAAATACAAGGATGGCAGAAGAAGAACAAACAACACCACACATTAAAAAAGATGCTGAGGTGAGATAGAAGTTCCACTTAAAATGTTTTCTGCTAACCAGGCTGTGACAAACTAAGACACAGAAGGCCTTCATTTTAGCTTCTCCTCCTATATTCATGCATGCTGTCATCAAAGAAGAAGTCATCACAGGCAGAGTCATATTTCTTCTTTCATCAATGTCTCCTTAATACAGGCTACCCAAGGAAATTACTTCACCTTGTTATTTATTGAAGTGCACTATATATGCACCTTGCATTGTCATAACAAGCATAGGTTGGTTCAAATGGTAGAGAATAGCCCCAGATCACACCAGAAACATCATGTCCAGGTTACTAGTTGGTTCTTTCTAATCTGAGTCCAGAATAAACTGGGTTGATCCTCATTTTAGTAGCACTTGGGGTTTTACTGGTTTCTTTACTGGTACAGAATCTCAAAATTTGGGCTTTCCTTCTTTCCAGGTAAGTAGGAGATGGTATTGTTCCAACATACCTTCAGTAAGTCAATGAAACAGATAACAGACATATACAGCTGGTTCTAAATTGGTCTACGTTGGAGGAATTCATATATGCAATCCCACCTTTGCTGTCCAATTGTGTCCATAAGGCTGTTAAAGCAGAGGTCCTCAACCTTTTGGGCACCAGGGACCAGTTCTGTGGAGAAAGGTTTTCCCATGAACCGGAGAGTGCGTGGTTTTGTGTGCTGCCTGCATCCCATGGATGGGGCTTTGCTTCTTTGTGCGGACCGGTTGCTGGCATGCCACGGCCCGGTACCGGTCCATGGACCAGGGGTTGGGGACCCATGTGTTAAAGCATCCTGTGGTCACATTATCACAATCTGTATGCTTGGCAACCAGCTTGCACTTAACAGTTGCAGTGTACCATGATCACATGACCACTATTTGCAAACTTCCCTGCCAGCTTCCCACAAGCAAAGTTAATGGGAAGCCTGCAGTGAAGGTCGCAGGTTGCTTGGGTGTCTTCCACCTCATCCTGTAGCTCCTCACACTGCACTTCACTGGCCATCCACGCACCTTGTGTACCTTCCCCTACCCAGCAGCAGCCACTTGCACTGCTCCTCCCTGGCCCCCCACACATCCTCCCTGCACCCTTCCTGAGCCTCGTTGCACTTGTGCCATGCCTCCCCAGGAACCTGTGTACCCCTGTATACCTTTTCCAAGCCTTGCTGCACCTCCAGAGACACCCATGCACCTTCCCATATGAGGCAGCAGCCATCCAAAGCCCCACCACACACTGCCTTCCTGGCCAGCTGCACACCCCACACTCCCTCTCCCACCTGGCAGCAACTAACCTGCCTGCTGGCTTGCTTGCAAGCCACCTAGGACTTGCGATTTCCTGTTGGGTACTCACTGGTTGTGAGAAGCCAGCAGGAAGTTATGAGGAGGTCCTTGCTTAATGACCCATGATCCTCAATGACAGCAATGGGAACTGCAGGAATTGCCATCACTAAGCAATGTGATCAAGTTGACATGCTTTACAACTGCATCATTTAGCAATGGATATTCCAGTCCCAATGACTGTCATTAACCAAAGACTACCTGTACAAAAGAAAATCTTGTTCACCTTTAAGTGTTGGTAAGACATATTTTCCATATTGCACTTATTTCTGAAAGGCTGTGTCATGGTGTCTGGCTTCTTAAATGTAGCTTATTTCACCAAAGTACACAATATTGTTGGTTGTCTTAAATTATCTACAAGGTAAATTCAGTTCAAATTATTTGCATTGAGCTCCTACTGAAAATGGAGGATCTGTTACTCTTGATTTTTAAGTTCCTGATTTATTTTTAATATGCCTGAATCTAGCCCAATTGTCAACTGTCCAGTTGGCGAATCCAGAAAAAGGAACTCCTGGGACATTATTTTACCAAGAGCATAAAACTTTACTGAATAAACCACATTGGCACAGAAGAAGCGAAACCAGCTCTGGGTTTCCCGCACAAATGCAAGCGTAGTTAATTCCTCCTTTTCCCTCTGGGCTACCCACATCCAAAACATCCACCAATCTCTTCTGTTCATTTTGTTATGGGAAACAGCCAGCCATGCCGGGACATCTGCTCAGTGTGTCCTTGAGATGACAGCATTGTCTCACAGAAGTCGATGGATGCTTGAATACCATTCTCCACCCCTGCATTCCATCCACCCCCTCCCTGTTATTGTCAAGCTGTGAGCGAAGGAAAAATGTAGGTGAAAGTGCGAGTCAGTCTTGACGCTAAGAAGTTATGAACTTTTAGTGACTAACAAATCATGCTTACTAGCTTTTAATGGGATTGCTACTGTGACACTGAAAATAAAAAAAAGTGTCAGCTGTGCCATCTTCACTACACTTCCCTACGCTTGCTGGCATCCTGCCATAAATGGAGGGAGGTAGGCAGTGGAATTTGGGGAAGTTGTGCAGGAGGAAAGGAGAAGAATGTAAAGGGGGAGGGAAATAAACTGATAGGAACTAGAGGTGTCAAACTGGAGTAATCCAGCCACCCAAGGATGCCTGGCCTGGGAAAGAATGTGAAACCTCTTCA